CAATTTTTATTTTTTTATATTTTTTATTATTACTTTACATTTTATGTAGAAGTTTCATGAAATAGCAATATTATATCGCGTGAAAAAAAATTGTCTTATTTAAGTCTTTAGCTTTATAAACGATAACCTTGAGTACACAAGTTTGATATCTACGTATCGTTTACGTGAATAACAATAAACCATCAGGAACAAATATTTCGGACATTTTGAATGTTTTGTCAATTGCAATGAAATTTTTCATGCGCATCTATAGAAGGGATTTTGTTATTTAATTTTCGTCGCTTGTTAGAGCCGTATTATTTTATTTATTTGTACTACACATTATATATCATCCGTATTATTTTATTTTTATTTGTACTACACATTAGACTTAAAAGCGAAGACGTACACACATGATTGCACATGATTAAAAAAAAATTGGTCTCCCTGATTGGTGCTTAATGACGCGATTAAATAAAGTTGTTGCACACGAATTAATTTACGTAAGCCTCGTAAATGGCGCCAATGGGCCTGAGACTAGACCGCGAAGGTCATTTCGGTCAAACAGGGGCTCGTCGCGTTCAACCAATCGACACGGCCACTGTGAAACGCCTTTCAGCCAAGAATGTGCTGGCTCGCATGGTAACAGCGGATCACACGCGACCACGCGAGTGAGGAGTCGTATAACGTTGTTCGAATTCCTCTGATGTTGGATTACATCAATAATACCTGAAATTTCGGCTGAGTTAAAAGACACGTGAGAGAAAGCGCGATTGCGATATTATCACGACAGAAAAAAAATAAAAATTAGTAAATTATGTAGCACAGAAATTTATTCTTTAAATACGTATTATAGATTTATAACTTTGTTATCAATATCGATTAAAATTAAAAAATTTGTTTTTCTTTTTTCAGAAATTTCAAATTTCGTTATTTAAATAAAGAAAAAGGAATTATTTAATCAAAGTATTTTTTTGAAAAAAAAATATGTTAAAGTGAATTTCTTTCTATTCCGCATTCGGTATTTAGTTATATCTGCAACTAGAGATTACTTTGATCTAATATTACCATTTAAACAATTAGAAACTAATATTGTCGTATTTTCATTGTAGTAATTATTTAAATATATCAAGAAATAAAAAATTAAAATTTTTAAAATAATGAGTAATAGATCTTAAGTTTTCATTTATGTTTTTGCAGACGAGAGAAAGAGAAAAAGAGGGGGGTGGGGGAAGGATATTTTTAATTCTTTTATAATTTTGTAAAATCCATTTAATCATTAATGTTAATTAATAGAAATAAGAACTATATTATTTGTATATATAATTTCATTTGGCTAATTATGATATATTTTTATGTTTTCTTATTCGTATTAAAAGAAAAATATTCGTTATTCTTTCAAAAATTTTAAAATATTTGATACAACTACAAATACACATATCTTTAATATTTATGAATACATTTTTTTTCACAAATATTATTTCACGTATAGTACAATGCGTTAAAAATTTTGCAAAGAGCATTAAAAATATAAAAGCTTATTAAATTTTGGTGAGTTTTTGTAAATAGATTCTTTATTACGTAATAATGTACAACATATATAAAATAATCCTGCACATATACGCAAAGATCAATTTTTGGATACTACGCATACAATAGTTTAGCAACATATTTCTTTAATCAGATCACGCTACAAAAGAATTCGATTTTTTTTCTATTATATACAGAATAATTTTTAATCCATAACGCAATGTAAGATATGATTGATTTTCTATTACCTTTCTTATAACATTATAATGTAATTACTTAAATATATGGCGAGTATGACCGGACAGATCTGTTTGACATGTTGATAGATAAAGTGTTAATACACTATTTTAATTATATATCTTCAAAAACTGTTGACTATCATTTAGCTGCTCTCGTAATCTATGGACAGATTTGGTACATCACACATTCTTTTCAACAAATAAACGATTTGTAATAATTTCAATCAATAACCGAAAAAATTGCATGGTTGAGGATACAATATCAGTATAAGTCCGATGCATAATCATCAAATATGTAATGTTCTTTCAATCGTGTGTAATCAAATTAAACTGCAATAGAAGTTATAAGATTCACACATTTCAAATTGAATTATGCAATAATTTCGATTGTACAAAAAAATATATGATGAAAAAATATACATCTTAAATATACACAAGTTATTACTATAAAAATCACGATTTCGTCTTTTACCACCTTGCAATATTCTTCATCTTTCTTTTTTTTACATACACTATAATGACATATCTAAAAATAAATTCCTTATCAAAATTAGACATTTTTGTAAATATTTCCATAGGGAATTACGTACAATATATTTCACATTTATTCACGTTATTTGTCTTAAAACGATATAACGTAACCCTGTTCAAATAGTATTGTTTTAAATGAACTAATTAAGTGCAGCAGATTAGTTGATAATTAATTCATTGATGTAGCGCTATGCAATAAATTGTGTATTTTATCCAGTGTAATGTCAATTATTTTTTCAGATACTTTCATTAGTTTAATGTAGTTTAATGTTCCTTTACTGCATTTTTAGTACTTTTCTTTTAGTCATTTAAATATTTATTACGTTATTAGTTTATGTAAATATGATGGTGTATAATTATATATCATTTATAATAAAATATCACATATTCCTTCACTAAAAATACCATTTATCAACTGTGACAATCTGTTACGAAATAATGTAAAGATATCTATGCAATTTCAAATATTTAAGTATGAAATTATCATGAATAAAAAAAATACTACGTATATATATCATCTATACATATATGATATGTAAATATATTGTATGTATATTTGTAATATAAAGGCAATCATTTAATTTTTGTTTTAGTAATCTTGATATCTCACACAGTTTTTTGGATGCATTTTTCTGCAATATGTTTTACAAAGATTATGACCGGAAAGTAATGCAACATGCTTATTTTCCCCAATTCAATCTTATTGGACCAAAATAATACTTTAAGGAAGCAAATAACGACTAATATGTGTGTATAACATAATAATAATAATAATAATAATAATAATAACTTTATTACAAACGTACAAATTTGATATTTTACAAGACCGACAAGTGTACGCAAGAGTAAGAAAGAAATACGTGTATAAGGTATATCAACAATACTGCTGTTGTGAAAACCGATTATAATAAAACAAAAAAATATACATGTAACAAAAAACAAAAAAAAGTGTAGTAAATATTTATAAAGATCGTAGAATAAACTATGAAAATTGAGATACAGTAAATCGAGCGACAGCTGAAAATGAGAGAGTAAAGATCTAATATTTAGAAGCAAGGAGTTAAAATATTTAACTGTAGTATAGCAGAACATGCAATTTTCCGGAAATGAATTTTCATGAACTTTCACGAACATGGAATTTTCCGGATTGATTGTAATAAATAGTATAGGTTCTGAAAACGAGCATTTAGAATGGAATTCGAAACTCAGAGTTTGAATAAAGAAGAGCATGCTGCATTCCAAAATGTATCGAAAACTGAAAATCTATAGATTATATAATCTAATTGTAACATGTATATATATAAACTATAAATTTTCAGTACTAGCAATACATTTCGGAACGCATCAAGAATAAACAGGTCGGGAATTTTTTTATCACTTGGTAGATCGTCGGTCTAATAATAATAATGTAAGTATCAAGGCGCGTCAACAACATATTATTTGTCAATATATTGTATTCCGTCTTACGAATTTAATAATCAAGTTAATTATGAATTTGTAACTTATAATCTATAAAGCAAAGAAAGTTAACTAAGGAAACAGACGTCACTTTGATCCTGAGGGGAATAAAAAGATATTAGTACTATTAACTATTACTACGACTATTAACTATTACTACAAACCGACTATTACTACTATTAATACTACTACTAAATTGCGAATGAAAGAAAAGATTTGTTACATTACTTTCTGGATGTTCTTCATAATACTGTGACGAAGTTATTTGAATATTAATTTCAGGTAACAAATATATATATATTCCAGTCTTAAAAACTCTAAACATGGAATGTTAACCCTTTTTAGCAAAATAAAAATATAATATGTATTAGAAAAGTTCACAGTTGGAGTGTGTACATAATGATAATGTTATTTAGAAAAATAAAATTAAATAAACTGATTAAGTTATATACTTCAAATATAGCTTTTGATAAATTTAGCAAAATAATGAAAAAATATTGCTTGACATATTTTATTTCAATAAGTAGTAATAGGCATTCATATTTCCTTCTTTGTATCATCAAAATGTATATCAAAAAAACTTTGTATCATTTCGATTATATAAATTCGAATTATTTTGAATATTATTTTACAAAAAAAAGTGTCTAGAAAAACTTCCTTTAAAAATATTTAAATATCAAAACATTTAAAATAATAAATTATTATACATGTTACCGTAAAAACTTATAATCATTAAAACTCGATTTCAGTAGTTAAAACTAGTTTTAAATTTAGTTAAAACGAGATCTATAATTGAACTGCCCACATAGGTTTTCGATTTTATGTATTTAATCAACCATTCTAGTTTTAACTAGTGAATTCGGGTTTTAACGGGTTATGGATTTTGACGGTAACATATGTATTTATTTATATATAGATCTGCGTTTTGAATAATACATGAAATAATTCGAGGTTTTCGCGTGATATATTTAAAGTGATTCAATATGCCTCTCAAAAGCCCATTACTACTAATAATAAATAGTATTTTATAATGACAAGCTAATTGTTGCAATATGTGTGCTAATCATAAAGGCACTTGGTGAAAATGTATTTTGTAAATATTTTAAAATTAGAATGATATCTGTTATAACATTAAAACAATGTTTGATCATTGCGAATCAAACATTGGCAGTGCCAATAGTTGAGGAATAATGTTTGATATATTATAATTGTTTTTCATAAACGCAGCCTTGTCAAGTTATTAAAATAATACATATAAAACAATACTCTGGAATGTAGTAGTCTATTTTCAAAATAATACTTACAAGCTCAGACCCGATTGGAATGTAAAGTTTAAATAACCATATATAATGATCGTGAGTTGAAGGCTTTCCTATTAAATATTTTCTAAAATATAGCTAAATTTCTTCATATATTACATATATTACGTATATTAGACACGACCGAAAAGATTTGCTTACATGTAAGAGGTTTGAAGTTTTATACAAAAATCTAAAATCTATGAATCATGGAATATTGTCTTTAGTTTCAGAAAATGATATTATCAGTTTTAATATTTTTAGAATTAATCCTAGCTATACACATTTATTTTTTATATATGTGGTTACCACACAGGAATCTGAGGGATTTACGCTTTTCATTAATGTTCGAGAAAATTACTGATTAATTTTTTAATTAATCATAAATAAACTAATCGCGAGCGGACGATTGTCTTGTTACCCATTTGTTTTTCCGAGCACTACTCAAAAGTAGTCTAAATTCATAATAAATACTAAAAAAACATAACCCCTCTATTTACTAATTCTATCAATAAAGATCGAAATTTTACTGGGATCTCAGAGATCTCAAAGTGTATATCTAGGAATTTTAGGAAATCCTGAAACAATATTACAAATTCAGTATTCAAAATTCGTATGTGTGTGAGTTCTTGTGAATATTGTTATTATTTCTCAATCGGTCGTGTCTATCGCAAAAAAGAAAAAAAACTTAGAAATACTCTATATCGGAGTTCAGATAGCAGAACTCCTGAAATAACTCATAAATTGCCAAAAAGCTGCCCTTAGCGAATAAGAAATTCAACATGACATTGTCGAGGATATGATCATTCTGGTAATGAAATATCTGTCTTGACTAACATTCTAGTTTACAAAATGTAACCTCGTCAACAATTTGTATGTCTGGCGCCTCTCATTAATGGAATCAAGATACCAGGACTTTGAGCCTGCCTAAGGAATGGATGTTGTAATAATTCAGCTGCCGTGGCGCGTTGCGCTGGATCACGTACGAGCATTCGCTCAAGGAAACCTTGAAGACGTGGACTAACCTGAAAATAAAGAAAATATGTTATTCACTTTTTGAATTTGGAACATACAACTGTCTACTGATACTGATATGTGATGATTTTGATGTTTGCGCCAAAATTAATAAGAAATATAATTGATCTTACTTTATGAAAATTTTTTAGTTTTGGTGGTGGCATATCCCTAATACGTCTCATAGCTTGCAGAGGTGGTTCATTGAAAAATGGTGGTTCACCATCGATCATTTCAATGATCATTATTCCTAACGACCAGATATCCACTTCAGGTCCATATGGCAACCTATAATTAAAAGATAAAACAGTTTCAGTTATATTTGCCAAAAAATTAAAATAATCAAAAAATTTTAAGTACACATCAATAGAATTATAGTTCTACACTTCTATTGATGTGTACTTAAAATTTTTTGATTATTTTAATTTTTTGGCAAATATAACTGAAAAATATCTTTTATTATAAATTTTGTAAAAGATTTAATAAAAAAAACTTAAAAAAAAAACAAAATACGTTTCTCAGATATTTCATATACTATTTTCATTATATCTATAATTTCTCTGTATAACAATTTAAATAATAAAAGCGTAAAATTTGTATTATTTAATTTAAAAAGCAGATATAGAATACCTTGAAATAACTTCGGGACTCATCCAGTATGGGGTTCCTACAAGAGACTTTCGCTTTGGTAATTCTTGAGAGACTTGAGCACAGAAACCAAAATCTGATAGTTTTACTCTACCATCCGCCGTAAGTAATATTGAATCAGATTTAATATCCCTGTGTATAACACCTTGCGAATGTAAATACGCCAATGGCTTAAGACACTGAGAACACACTGTAGCTATCTGACTTTCATCCATTCTTGAATGTGTTACGATATCGGTTAGCGCACCTCCCTCTAGATACTCCATAACTACCCATAATTCATCGTCTACCAAGAAACTATTATACATCTCGACTATATTTGGATGATGGTAATCCCTCATAATAACAACTTCGTTAAAAAGTAATTCGCGCCTTTGCTGTTTCCTTAAATCCATTTTTTTGACCGCAACCTGACGATTTGTACTCTTATCCGTAGCTATGCATACAGTTCCTGTGCTGCCTTCGCCAATCTTCAGGAAATTCTCCAAATTTTCTCTTGGATCACCTTGACTTACCTAAACATAAATGCAGGTTGCATGCATTATTATCATTATCAAAATTAAAATTCTAGACTACAAAATTTGTTTCTTTTATTTAATTGCAAATTCATCATAATAGCAATAATATAAGAATTGAATTAGAACTGTTCTATAGAATGTATTGAACACTTAAGATATTTATTTTAAAGATGACTTTTAAAATAAAACTATCATGATTAATTGTAATACATTGTATTATGTAATAAAGGAGTAATCAATAAGAGTTTATGTATTTTAGGCGATAAGGGAAGCATGCAGAAATTGCATGGATTTATCTTTTCTTTTATTCAATTAATAAAATGCATGAACTCCTTTGCAATAAAAATTTTACATACCACCATCTGTAAAGCAGCCCGGAACTGTTCATGCGTAAGTCTCTGCTCCGCTTGTTTATTGGTATTGTTTGAACTTGCACTAACTGCTAAGTTTCCTGAGGAGACGGCACTTTTCATATTTTGATTTTGGTCTGGAGTAGAACTGGTTCCTGATACTGCGGACGGCATGTTTGGTTTTGATAAATTATGCATCGATTGGGAAGTTTCCATCGGTTTCTTTAAATGCGATTGGAGATTAGATGGATTCTCAGACATGTATGCCTGAGAATATTTATTAATATTATGTGAACTCAATTGACTCAGAGGTCGTTGCGACGCTATTGAACCCACAGGTGAAATTTTTGGCTGCAGCTTGTGTAATAAGACGTTTTGGCCAACTTGATGTTCCCTCGATGCGTCCATAGTTGAACCCTATAAATCAAATAATATCACTGTACATTATATGTACTTATTACTATATTTATATTTTGTTTTTCGACTTTTGCATTTTGATAGAATATTATATAATGTATTTACATTGTTTTTTCTTGCTACATTGAGTTAAGAGACTCAACATACTTTGTTAGATCAATAAGGAATAAAATTATAATTACATCACTAAGTTAATTTAAAAGACGAGATTATAAATGTGTTTTCAAACTATATAGTTGCTGAACGTTTAATATTTCATATATTACTCTTTTTAGGATAAAAAAAGGTATAGATATATATGTAACTATATAATTACCTGTACATTGCCATTATATTGACCTGACGTCATGGCCATTTGCGAATTTAGTCTATGAAATTCTGTATCAAGAAGTTGCGGGGTATTTGGACTTTGTACTGGAGCTTGTGAATTTACAATTGGGCTTAAGTTTTGGAAATTTAAGGATAAATTTGGTACATTTGATCCCGAGTGAGTTAAATTTGGCGAAGATTGCATATTAGGATTGAGATTTTGAAGATTTGGGATCATGTTCTGCATGCTGGAATTCAGTCCGCCGCCAACGTTCGGGGAATTTTGTCTGAGTTTATCGATGTAATTATGCGGCTTGCCAAAGTTTGTAAAGCCCTGATTAATGTTTGAAGGTATCTCTTGACCTTCAGGGACAGATGGCGGGAGATTATGCCTGCAAGATAAAAAAAATTAAAGAAAAAATTGTGCTATCCTTAGTCTTATCAAAATGTATTTTGATGAATAGATAACGCAAGAATATCTGAGACACTTAAAGTTACTTAATTTATTGTGTCATCAATTAGACAGATATAGGCGGATGCCAGTCTTTATCAACAAAAATTTGGCCATATTCATTACATGTACTTTTGGATCATTCCATATACGAGCAACTTATTTATTTCATGCAATATTGTAAGTAGATCTAAAACAAAATTAAATCAAAATACCTGTAATCTCTCCTGAGTCGCGGTGGACTCGAAGAACGTAGAGAATTGGAACGGGCGACTGTACTGGTCTTAGGCAGGCCATTCTCTACTGTTCTATCGGCAAGTGGTCTATTTATCCTAGGATCATTGTGGCCTCTTACAATGGTCTTCAAGTCGAGGATCTCGGTAGGCGTGATCTCGCTTGGATCGACCAGGGGCAGTGGTCTGTTGGTCGACTTCAGAATCTGGTTATTCCCAACTATGGAAGCCCATTGCAGCGGCAGTCCGACGAATTTGCCTTCACGTTTGTCGAATCCAGTATGCACTCTGTGCTCGAAGTTGGTTGGCGTGGAGATCTGCGGTTTCTTTTTCTTCTTGGTAAACATTATCCCTGCATTCAAAACAACAATTATTAGGATCGTGCCTGCGGAGCGAAGGAATATTGTAGCGCGATAATTTCACTGGCAGTATCATCTGACATGGTATTATCTAGCGACTGTTCTATCAAGTATAAAAGTACGCGGTTCTGCTTGTCAGAGTGGATTCACTTGTACACACTAAATCTTCCCACCGTGGGCTCCGCGGGTATTCTGCGGATATTTTCCTTCCGATCGAAAGGCTTACGATTTGCACTTGTACTTAAGTAAAAGTCAGGTACACGGAGTGCGGGAGTGACGGTGAAAATTCGTGAAAACAGCGCGGGGCGAGGGAAGCCAAGTGACAGCAACGCCTACCGAGCGACGATGTGATCTCTGTGACGCGGCTCCGCCGAAGCCCACCGAGTTCGGATTAACGGAATGCGCGAGGACGTGCTCCTCGGACAGCTCAGGTAGCTCGTGATGTTGAATGCAGGCCGCGATGGTGCCGGAACATAGGCGATGTCGCTCGTTAAAACACATAAATACGCCATTCATCCGCCTCGACAGGTCGCACTCGCAACACCGGCGCTCCACGCGGTGAGCTTATGAATCTTTCGTGGCATTTAGTTCATGACAATTTGCTGAAACGTGCATGTGCGTCGCGGCGCGGCGCGGCGCGGCGCACGCGCGCGCGCGCGCAAGGTAAATGCAGGCACCTGCGCGCGAGCGAGCGCGAAAATGGTGGTCGCGCCGCGACGCGCCGGAAGCGGGAGCGGGATAGAATGTGAGAGAAAGTGATCGCGCGAGAGATCGCGATCGCGGAAAAGGAGTGATCGCGCGGAAATTTATTGATCAAACATCGCGCGATGTTCTAGCTTCGTGACTCGCGCCCGAGAGTTATACATATATATGATTATATCTGTCGATCCGATTCGATTCAGAGATCTAACGTCCAGCGGTTCTTAGATTTCTTTTTTTCAACAAATCTAAATTAACAACTAAAAATAAATGATGAATAAAATAATGAAAAATATGTATTAAAATATTATTGTTATCGTTATTGTTCAGATTATATTATAGAAATGTTTCTTAAATTTTTATTCTTATTAAATTAAAGATGTTCGACTTGCGCGTAAAATAAATGTAGAAATAATTAAAACGATTAAAATAGTTTAAACTTGAATAAACAATTACATTGCTATTTCATTATATTTTGATATATGTATAAATAAATGTATTGTTAAATAAGAAAAGATAAAGGATTTTCGAAAGTAAAAATAATAATGATTGGTAATAGGGCAATGTGAGATTACGCGGTGCGATACTTAACACATAAGAATTTTATATAGACTTCAAATAATAAATAATTAAATGACACGTACGTAGTAAAAACAATTTAAAACTTCCTGTTTGATTCTTTTACATTGTTCGAAGAATCTTCGTACTATCGCCGTACTCTCATATATTGTTCTATTATCAATCATTATTATAACTTTTAAAATATGCAAAATAAGAGTAAACATATTACCAAAAATTATAAATAATTTTTATTTTAGCCTATTTTGATGCAAATTGTAAAATATAAATAATTATTTTGTACCGTACTCACTTTTCCATAACTATAATATATATATATTTTCCATAACTATTAATACTTGTACACAAAATAATAAGACAAAGTAAATGACACATAAACAAGCTCATAATTATAATTAAGAAAAAAAATTACAGTTTGCAAGTTTTAACGCAATGATACATATTTTTGTTAAAACAACTACATGTATGTTGTAACTATATGTTTTATTTATATCAATACATTTATCTTATTATTTTAAGTATAAAAATATTAATAATTTAAAAACGTTTTATTTGCAAGTCATGTTGCAAATTGCAAAGGTAGTACATGTAAATCGTTATTTATAATAATGATTAATAAAATCATATTTTATATTCAATCTCTTTATAGAAAAAAATGTTTCAAATTCCTCGTGAGAATTTTGCATGTTACTTTGCATTTGTGTTATGAAATATGCAAAATGATTCTAGAACAAAATAATTAAAAAAATTCAATTAAATCTAAAGCCGATCTAAATCTTAACTTAAAAGGGATATGTTTGCAAAATTTGTCAAACTGAGTAGTCAATGAATATACAGTGAAAATCAATATACAGTAAAAATATATGCAGAAAATTATATTTTTTTTACAATGACTATATTGCAGAAAAATGTGTGAAACGGGAAATTAGCAGTTGACCTCAAACAATTAACCCAGCGTTAAAGTCTCGACATGGTTGTAATTACGAACTGTTGTTCGGTCAATTTTACGATTTAATTCTCGGTTAGTTAAGCACACGCTAATTGAAATAGCTCTCGACTTCAGTAGCGTGACCAAAGTCATTTTCGTTTAAAGATTTTCTTTAAAATAGATCACGTACGATCACGTAAATGGAAATAAAGTAAATTGGAATAAAAGTGAAGTAACTATATTTTTTAGCAGAGAGAGATAAAAAATTATTCTTTATAAATATTATTTCGTACAAGAGTACATAAAAAAAGTGACCCTTGGAAATCCATCGATCAAGAAAGCGATGTTCTAGCTTGGTGAACTCGCGCCGAGAGTCATACCTTGCGATTTGATTCGATTCAGAGATCTAACGCGTACTGCGTTGATGTTTTTTTTTTCAATAAATACCGAATTAACAACTAAAAATACATGATGAATAAAATATTTTATTTCGACAAGAGTACAGGGCGACACACAACTTACATTTTTTTATGAATAATCTTTCCCTTCTGCAGTTGTGAGGAAAAATAAAATTTTTGGTTCTCGATGCTTTTGATTATTATAAAATTTTTGTTCTTATTATTAATAGAATTGAAGTTTTTCCGTTTCTTAACAGAGAGAGAAAGAGAGATCTTTTGCATTATATTTACGACTACCTCTCCCCGAGAATTGTCATGCCACAATGAGAGAAAGTTTCTATAAGAATGCATCAATAATGCATCAATCCATGAATGCAATATTAATTTTTTTCTCAGTTGTTTCCATTTGATCGAACATGCAAAAACTTCGATGTCTTCTAGGATCAATTTTCTTTTATCGAACACCGAGGGGTGCTGTAGTGCATCAATCATGTAAAATACTGCATTTATCGGAATACGCAATATTTATGATGCATCGATTATTCTTATAGACCCTGTGTTTAGTATATATTACCTGACGAATATGTCACGAGTATGCGCGATGATACCTGATTAGTGGGGATAAAAATATTTTTTTGACAAAGGAAAGTAGTACGTGGCCAACCCTAGAATGGATGTTATTAAATATTCGGGATATGCAGGTTCGTTATTGTTTCTATTAATTTCTGTTGAAAAACATAATTTGTTTGATGATTTTACGAGTCTATTATTTGTCTGCTTAATTGTGAAAAAAAGAATATTATTTTGTTTTGTATTAAGTATGTGTTTATATAAATTAAAAAAAATCCATTTCTAGAATTATTTGAAACTATACATTATACGAATTTTTAAATATTAAATATTTAAATAATTTATATATTGAAAATGTATAAATGTATCTCGTTCTTGTCATGTATATAATTTGTATTATAATTAAAATATGAAGGGTATGATCGAGTATTCTTGATTTTTTCAAACTGAAGAAAGATAGAAAAAACAGAAATTGAGATATCAAAAGAAAAAATGATGATTCATATTATGTATATTGTAAAAGATATTAATTTTGAAAAATTTTTTGCAATTTAATACTGTTGTACATACATGATCATAGCAATAATACCGAGACGATTTAACCAGTTTACACTTTGATAGCTAGATTTTGAATGGGCGGTAGAATTGAATCGCTATAGCCTAAAATTTATCGGTCTTTGGCCGAAAATGGAAGAAACAACGCGGGAAAAATTAACGGCCAACATACGAGTGTTTCTGTTGATAATAATGGTAACCTTTGTTTGCGTGATTCCCTGCATACATTCTCTGATAAGAGTTTGGGGCGATCTGATGTCGATGACGGACAATTTACAGTTCACTTTACCTTTAGTGTCGATGATACTGAAGCTTATTATCATGTGGAGTAAAAGAGCAGGTAATTAAATAAATCTCGTGTGTAGTACAAATTTAGCACAAAAAAATGAATGATACTTAAAAAATATATATTAAACGCATTATAACAAGATAACATAAAATAACGTTGGAATAACATTAGAAGTTTTTAAAACTAGTATTACAAATTACTGAAAGGTTTTTTTGTCTCTTTTATATATTAATATAGTTATTAATTTTTATATTAGATAATATTAAAATTTAAATATCATTATATTTATTATAATTAATTGTGCGAGTTTCTACTATTTGTATAATTTATTTTTTTAAGCTCTTGCGCCACTTCTATACATGATCGCTAAAGATTGGCTGAGACTGAAGTCTGATAAAGAACGGAAGACCATGATAAAATGCGCACGGATTCCTCGCATGATCATAATCTGCGGATTCGTCATAATGTTCGCGTCGTTTATTTTATTATTTATTCTGCCGAGCTTTGGAATCACCATGCGATACATCACAAACGTAACCGATCCGGGCAAACCATTGCCTCTGCAAACATATTACTTCTACGATACAGATACGAGTCCGTACTTCGAGCTCACATTCGTCGCACAAGGAGTTACTCTCATGGTGTCTGCCATGGGTTATACGGCGATTGACAGTCTCTTTGGATTGGTGGTTTTCCATGTATGCGGTCAATTGGAGAATCTTAAAGACCGTTTAATGATGGGTTCTGCAAAAATGTCAAATTTCGATCATGTCTTAGCGGACGCTATGAGGGATCATGTACGCCTTATCAGGTTTTGTACATAATACGCATTCATAATTTTGATACACTTGTTACTTAATATATAATAACGATAATTATTTCATGTAATGACAGATCAAACTTAAAATTATACAATATAATAAATAAATATGTATGTGTTTCCAATAGAAAAATTATAACACTTCTGAAAAAATGGAACTTAAACATGACTAATAATAGATACAGTTACTTAAGTTATTACAGCACAGTTCTTTACTTTGTAATAATTTTTAATAAAAATTTTGTTTATTATAGATGTGTTAAAGTTATCGAAAGTATATTTACTTTCATGCTTCTTGGATTATTCCTCTATTTCGGCACATTATTTAGTCTATATGGATTTTTATTAGTCACCGTAAGTCAATAAACAAATTTTGTTTTCTTTCGCAAGCTCACAATACAAAGAGTAATAAAAAAAGGTGATTTTTTAAATTGTTTTTTTGGGTCCTCGATTTTGGGACTGAACTATGTGCCAAATGGTACCTTATAATGAGATATTAATCACAGAGAAGTTTCAGGTTGAGGTAACAATTATTATCACAGTTGGAAGGGGGGTACTTATCACGTCTCTTTATGCAAAAACTTGATTTTTTTATATCCAAAACAAGTGTCATTTATGTAAAATTGTAATCGACCTTCTTAAAATACCTCGCAGACCTATGATAATTTCATATAATGAATTTTGATTTCCCCCCCCCCCCCTTAGCTCTAATAACAATTGCCACCTCAACTTGAAACTTCTCTATAATTAATGTCTCATTATAAGGTATCATTTGGCACATAGTTCAGTCTCAAAATCAAGGGCCCAAAAAATGGGCGATTTTTTGGGTCACTCTTTATATTTATCAGTTTTCAATTTTATCAGATTATTTTCAATAATCTAATATTTGAACTTTTATTCTTGAAATTGTTATCTACATATATATTAATACATATATATTATTACATATTAGGTAATATACCTATGTATATTTTCTTTAATCAATAATTTAGATTGTTACCGATGGACGTCATTTATCTTTTGTAAGACTGACATTTCTTGTAACAGTTGTTGCAAATATTTTTGCACATATGTGCTTGTATTGTGTGGTTGGAGAATGTCTAATAACGCAAGTAAGTTGTTATTGTCTCAACAAGTTCACATAATTCCTTCATTGCAAAAATATAGGTGTACTATAATTTAATCAATTGTGATATATGTATGTTATAATTTAATTAAAATATAGTTATTATACGAATAGATGTTTGTTATATCTGTATAATTGCAATTGTAAATTGCCAACTAACGAGAGAACACACGGAAGTGTCCTCTTTCAATTTTAATGAGTTTTGGATATGTTAAAATATATACAAAAATAAGATACTAACAATTTTTTATACGTGCTGAGTCGCATGTTAAAGGGGTAATATCCAGCCTTGAAAAAATCCATTTTTTTCTTTCTGAATAAATATTATGTAAACCGTCAAAGATATGAAAAAATCTTTTAAACAAAAGTTTTACAACTTCAAGTGCGCTTTACAGTGGCGCATTTTAATTTTTGAAAATTAAGATTGAATATCACCCATGTGACTTTGCACGTATAAAAAATAATGGATATCTTATTTTTGTCTGTATTTTAACATGTCCAAAGCTCATTTAAATCGGAGGAAGACACTTCCGTTCCCTTATAAGCACTTGCAAATAAATTGAAAAATCAGAATAATAACTTCGAAAAATATTCGAAAATATCTATCAGATATATTTTCAATATTCGATAAAATTATGTCGCATTATAGTGCGAAGGTGTCTATCAAGCTGTGTATGAATATCGTTGGTATGAATTGGAACCGAAGCAAGCCAGAAATCTAATTTTATTGATGGTTCGCGCAAACAAACCACTTTACGTAACTGTTGGAAGAATCTTTCCTCTAACGATGAATACTTTTTGCAGCGTAAGCAAACATTGAATTACACAAATATTTTATAAAACGTTAATTATTTTATAAAAATAACTGTGATTTAATAATCACATTAATAATCTTTTATGTAATTCTTCAATCTAATAATCTTTCCGTAAAAACATTAAATTCTATGATGCGATTTTTAAGACAGTTTATTTTTTTCAGCTACTAAAAACATCAGGAGGTTATATATCGGTTTTACTTGCACGACGTGATTAATACGTATCATTAAATTGCGTTAAGAATAATCTGCAAAATGATAACAATATAAATATTATATATATTAATATAAACACAAGTGTTAAATTGGACATTACTTGGTATACTTATATATAAAATATGTATAAATATATTCATTTCACATACGATAAAAAGATATTATAATTTATAGTTTTCATATTTTAGAATGTTAGAATAATTAAATACTTTATATTTTATGTTGTATATATTTTTATGTATTTTTTATTTTTCTATTTATTCTTACAAAACTACTAATATGACTGAATTTACAATTAGTCATAACAGTAGTGTATTATTTTTAAATATTGGTTCAGTGAATCGTATAACCTTTATACTTTTGTATTTTTATGTGAGAGAATTTACATGCACTAAAATATTTCTTCGTATATGTTTATTCATCCCTTTATATTATTATATTATTTTAATTGTTTTAAATCACTATACTTTTGTACAGAAAAGAACTTTGGTTTATCTACTTCCATTCTTTCAATGACAGAAGGAACTATAATATTTATAAAATATATACATATAATTTATTATACTGTATATTGTATAGTAGGTATAACATACTTTTGAATACTATAGAAAAAAACGTTCTTATATTTTTGTAATTTTTCGAAGATATGTTGTTTGTATGTTGTTGTTGGCTCATATAACATTTTAACGTTTTCCATTGTATAACGCTTTTCTCTTTCACACAACGTTCTTTGTTTCTTTTGTCTTCTCTCTACAGGTTTATTAAAAATGTATTATTCTCCGACACGAAAATATGTAGTGAAGCTTCAAGGTAGGAGAAACGTGTACAATATTTCACGAACCTCTAAACACTGGGATACAACATATGTCTCTGCATTGTATATTGCCGAACATGTTATCCCTATTTTTTACTTGCTACTATGTTTGAGAAGTTTTTACAAAACGAAGAACTTTTATCAAACTAGGGATAACCAGACTAGGGGGGAGGGGTGACACTTTTAATATTTAATGCGCCTCTTGCAAAGCAGCTAAGTTCTTGTACTCATTTTACAAGCATGCGTGATGATCACTTTCTAACTTAGGATTGGAAGAACAAAGCACTATACTCATCATGTTAGCCAATGACATGAACATTTTGGCACCTTCAGGTTATAAAGGTACTAACTACATATTACACATTTAGTACTTGTATATTAACTGCCTGTCTAATAGTTTATTATATTTCTATCAGTATAATATATATTATATAAATTTATGTGTTGCACATAATGTGCATGTTATACATATATAATTATGTATGAACAATTTTTCTCATTTCTTCAAACTTGATTTTTTGTAAAAGAAACAATGTAAAAATTATTCTTTTAATTAGTTTTTATGTTTCCTACTTATTATTATCAATTTTGTATTAAAGAATAATTTTACAAAGGAAAGAAACATATATGGACATATTTTGCATATAATTATGTATACATAATTATATGTGGAACTTTATTTCCCGGGCTTTCATGATTTTTTAAGATATTAATCGCGATCAATAAATATAATCTATATAAATATAAGTTTTTAACAATTATCAAATATATGTATACTTATATAATATATATGTATAATACATTATAAAATTGATTAGATTTCTTATGGGCAGTGGAACTCCATCATTTCGGTTTTGAAATAATCGGCTTGTGGCCTAAAACTGACAAATTTGCACGTTTGTGGTCTGAAATTCGTATAAGTATTATTTTAATTTTATTAATATTTGTTTTAAATATTCCGATGATATATACAATTACGCAAATTTGGGATGACATGGTACTTGTAATAAATAATTTACAAACAACATTACCCTTCGTAGCAGCATCAGTGAAATATGTTATTATGCGATGGAAACGAACAGGTATGTCTAGAATTATTTAAAATAAAATGTTAACATTATATTTTGTTAGGGGCCGTTCATATATTACGTAAGCATATTTTTTGGCCATTTTTGACCCCTCCCTTCCTCTATGTAAGCAAATGTCATAATTTCTGAAACTCCCTCCCCCCTCTAATTACGTAAGATTTTTTCGATTATGCTCGATGTAAAGTTAATATTGCTTTTTCATGACAGCAACAAACATAAAAAATCTTGCGTAAGAATATGTACGACTCCTTCCCTCCCTCCTCCATGTAATTATTAATTTATGTCAGAATTTGACTGATCCTCCCCTCCCCCAGTCATGCTTACGTAATACATGAACGGCCCCTTATTTCGTTAAATTATCTTATGATACTTGATTATTACAAACATATCGTTGATTACGGTATCAGAAATGAGAAATTTTAAACGCACTTATACATATATCAAAAAATAAATAGTGCAATATATATCCCTTAATATATGTATAATACTAATATTTTATTCATATCTATTTACATTTCTAAGTTTTTTCGTCGATTGTGAATATGATGGCGGAAGATTGGATGGTACTCAAGTTAGATGCAGAAAGAAATGTGATGATACGACAAGCACGAATTGCTCGATTAATCATGATTATTGGATACTTTTTTGTACTAGTAGGGTTTTTCGCATTATTCATTTCTTCTTATTTTGGAATCAAAGATTCAGAGATAACAAATTTCACGAATGCGGACAAGCAGTTACCTCTTCAGACATATTACTTTTATGATATAAATAAGAGTCCACAGTACGAATTGACATATTTTATTCATTTTACAACAGTCTTGTTCGGAGCTATTATTTACATGTGTATAGATATTTTCTTAATACTAATAACTCTTCACATTTGTGGCCAATTAGAGAATTTTAGATGCCGATTATCTAAATTGGTCTCTTGTAAAGATTTCAACAAAACTTTGAATAATATCACATCGACACATTTACGACTTATCAGGTATAAATTTTTATATAACAATAAAATTAAAATAATGAAACGTTTAATAAAATAAGTTTAGTAACACGCTACTTTAAAAATATCTTTCTATATAAAGTATTAAAGATTTTAAATATTAAATCTTTATACATATATTCACAGTTTGATATAAACATTAGTCTTTAATAAATATGTCTGCCTAGTTGGCCTTCCCACTTAATCAAAATTTAATAAAAAAATTATGTAATAATGCGCTATTTATAAATCCATCCATAAGAAAAAATTTGCGCTTATTCCATTTATGAAGCTATTGAGAAAATTACAAAATGGTAGAGGACTTTTTGGCTCAATTTAGTCCGCTCTATCTGCTCACGAGCGCTTTAACATTTAGTATCGGATATCTTGTATATGTATATAAAATATGGTATTCTGCAGAACACGCTAACATGCTATACTTTGCGTTACTTGTACTATAGAATTTTAGAAATAAAAGCGCGCATTTATCATGCGTTTTGAATACGGACTTATGTCTATATGTATATGTTTTGTAACCTAATCATTTGAAATCTCACAACATTACAATTTAAATCTTGTAACTTTATTGCGAATTGTGATGCCACTGTAACTTTTTTGTTATAAGGGATGTATTTGTGGATGTACAGTTTTATTGGTTTTAATGTGACAATGTTACTATTTTTTATAGATTTGCCGACAATATTGAAAATACATACTCTTTAATGATATTAATAGTACTATTTTATTTTGGTATCGTATTTAGCCTAAGCGGATTTTCATTTATTGTAAGATTTAATATTGCAAATATAAAAAAATATTTTAAAATATGTTATACCTACATGTTTTTTCATTTTATAAATATACATTACAGATACTTATTGATAAAAATATAAATAAAGCTGTTATCGCACAAGTATATATGTCGACAAGTATTCTTGTTGTGTTATTGATGACTACTTTTCTCTATTGTGGCGCGGGAGAATTTATAATGGAGAAAGTAAGTTAGCCTTACTAGCTGGAATCTATACCATCGCAAATAAAATTTATATTTATTAAAAAATGTAATGTGATTATAGAACTACAGAGTGCGTCGCCAAAGTCCGGATAAAATGAACAATTTTGAACAAAGTTTAAACAAAAGTTTATTTGTTAAAATGTACAAATTACAAAAAAATTTTTTTGGACATCACTAGTGGTATTCTTTTAGAGTAAAATTATTCTATATAATCCCCGTTTGCTTTGATGACTGCTCCTCCTCCTAAAGTTAGTACGCTTTTTGCAACGCACTCTTGTCCATATTGGCGAATACTGCCTCGATAGGAGCCTGGAGAGATGTCACGTTTGGATGTTTCGACTTGTTGGTCACTCATTCAAAATCGGTCCAAACATAATAGTTCAAATCTGGACGTTCAAAGGCCAGAATTCTTTCCAATCAAACATGTTCGGACCAAAACATGTCCACATTATCCAACAGCCAGTTTCGAACTTTTATCACATAGGACTTATAGCTTATGGGTCCTCTTTAGCAATTCGATACTTTGTGTGTCACTCACACTCAATGTTATTGCCAATTTCGTCAGAGACAGCCCTGAGCTCTGAGATGAGCTCTTGAGTCATTTCGACAATTGCTGGAGTCCTTACCGATTTTTCTTTAGAATGCCTCTTTCTCGTCGGGTTGGCAAAACCTTTTTCGGACGTCTGTGAAGCTAAATATTTAGCTGCAACATCATACACGGTCGATCTCGGGTACTTGAAGAACCAAATAGTTTTTCGGTCTGCGAACGCCCAGCGCGAAGGCATTATCACTGTTCTTCGGTTATACTCCGCACTCGATCTTATCTGTTCGGATATTTTGAAGTTACACACGCTTATTAAAAACATTTGACTTGCCTGAATGTCAACAACGACCCACCGCCAAAGTCAAATAAGACGGGAAATTTTAATTTAAATTTGTTCGGATTTTGGCGACGCACCTTGTACATAGATATTTAAAAAAAACCGATTATTAGAAAAATCGATTTTTTTCCTT